TTTAGGTTGGACGTTGGACATTAATGCAACGTTCCCACGATGTTGGAGTGCAACGTCAATCTGACGTCATGTTGACATCCTGTGCCTCATGGGTAGTCTTTCAGACACAGCCAATATGTCTATTTGAACAGTACATCTCTGTCTATTTACACACTTTGTAGTATAAAGTAACTTCAATCCAGTTTGCCAACAAGTCTGGGGATATGTCAAGTTAAATCAACAACAAAAAATTCAACCAGCCAGAAATCTGACTCTGATCAGTGCATCAATTGAAGACATTTTGAACAATGCTGGAAACTGGTAACCATTGACATCCATGGTAAGAAAAGAAAATACTATAGAAATTGATGGTTACCAGTTTTCAACATTATTCATGACATCTCTGTTTGTGTTGTGCCAAAAGAAACTAAGATGGAGGGTGGAGGAATTAAATCTTTTGGGTGAGCTGTCACTTTAAAGAGATTCCCCTTTTTAGAACATTTGCTCACCATTTACTCAAACTCAAGTGGTTCTAAACATTTATGAGTTATGTTTGGACAGTAAGGCCGCAGCCTATAGTCTTTCAGACACAGCCAATATGTCTATTTGTACAGTACATCTCCGTCTATTTACACACATCCAGTTTGTCTACAAGTCTGAAGATATGCCAAGATAAATCAACAACAAAAAAAGTCAGATTTCTGGCTGGTTGATCATTCATCTCTACAATAGAGGACATTTTGAAGAATGCTGGAAACTGGTAGCCATTGATGTCCATTGTAGAAAAGAAAATACTATAGAAGTTGATGGTTTCCAGTTTTCAACATTCATTCATTTTCTTTTCGGCTTAGTCCCTTTATCAATCCGGGATGAACAGCAGAATGAACCGCCAACTTATCCAGCACGTTTTTTTTACGCAGCAGATGCCCTTCCAGCCGCAACCCATCTCTGGGAAACATTCACACACACTCATTCACACTCATACACTACGGACAATTTAGCCTACCCAATTCACCTGTAGCACATGTCTTTGGACTGTGGGGGAAACCAGAGCACCCGGAGGAAACCCACACGAACACAGGGAGAACATGCAAACTCCTCACAGAAATGCCAGCTGACCCAGGCTCGAACCAGCGACCTTCTTGCTGTCAGGCAACAGCAAAAGGAACTCAAATAGCTTTGGAGCAAGGCTGGAGGAATTGTAACTTTTAGGCGAACTGTCACTTTAAAGGGATAGTTCTCTCAAAAATGAAAATGGCCTCATGATTTGTACTCTCGGTCATGTGGTTTTAAACATTTAAAAGGCTTTCTTTCTACTGCTGAAAACAAAAGAAGATATTTTGAAGAATGCTGCACCATTTCATTTCATAGCAGGAAAAAAATACTACGGAGTTCAGTGGGTCCTAGAGCAACCAGCATTTTTTCAAAACATCCTCTTTTGTGTTCAACAGAAGAAAGAAAGTCAAATAAGTTTTGAACGAGTGAAGGGTGAGCAAATGATGACAGAATTTTATTTTTGGGTGAACTTCCACTTTATCTGGAGGCAGAGCTGTTACGGAGGACACGGCACAACAGTGATAATCTCCTTCTGATAGCCTCTTTAAAGAGCTCGTATCAAGGAAAATTGATTTCTCATGATCCTTTGAGATTAAAAGAGTTCATTGTGCTATGAACATGTACTGCAGCCTTATGAAGTATAAAAGGAGCATTTATTTGAATGTTAGCCAAGCGCCATTTAAAGGGATAGTTCACAAAAAAATGAAAATTGCCTCATTATTTATTCTCCCTTGTTTGGTTTAAAACTTTAAGTAAGTTTCTTTCTTCTGCTGAACACAAAATACGTTTTTTAAAGAATGCTGGTGATGCGATGAGTTTCATTAGCGGTGTGAACCTACATTGTTCTCACGGTTCGGTTGCTATTATCATGCTGGTTCAATTCGATCTCTCAATGCATCGATGATGCTTTTCACACACAATTTGATATTTTACTTAGCAACACAATAATTCTTGTATTAAAATTCATAATTTATAAACATTTGTGAAGAGACGGTGGCTTAAGGCTGATTTATACTTCTGCGTCAAACGCCGGCGTATGCTACGGCGCTGACGCATAGCCCTTCGCCGTGGCCGTCGCTGACGTGCACCTCTCAAAAAATGTAACTACACGTCGCAACGATGCGTAGCGCAATCTTTGTGATTGGTCGGCTTGGTATCGCTGACGAGTCTGGGCGGGACAGAGAGTTTTGTTTTAAGTTTACCTCATAGTTAAAGTTGTTGCACGTCCGCCGGTTCCTGCCTCAAAATGAGCGAGTTTGAGCCACTTGTACATTCAGGAAGTGTTCAGGAAAAGCAAAAAAGCAGCGAAGAAACAGAGGAACATTTACACCTCACTGCCAACTAGCGTTTCGAAAGTGTTAATGCAGACCAACAGAGACAGCGCGCAGAAGTATAAATGCACAGCCACGCGCGTTGCATGCGCCGTGGGTTACGCCGGTCACTTGACGCAGAAGTATAAATCAGGCTTCAGCGCTTAGCACTGTGACCTCACACAGCAAGAAGGTCGTTGGTTCAAGTCAGCTGATCCATTATAGAGGGCGACATAATGGAGAAAACTTGCTTTGTGGACACACTTGTGTCTGGCTCAACAAGTAACTTTATTGTTGTAACAGCCGAGAGAAGAGATAAAACGTAACCTCACAAACACGCCAGCAGGTCAAAGGGGCCACAGAAAGTGAGCGAGAGTTTACAGCTTTCATTTTTTCCTAGCTGGGTTCTGATGTACTTGCCTGTTAGTGAAAGACTGTCCAGCAAACTCACTAGCAGTGAATTGTGCACAGTTATCTGCTTTTTAAGTAGATGGAGCGTTTTATTAATTACTCGCGGTCTGCTCCCTCGACATCGTAAGCTACTGTTATATAACGCATATGTGTTAAACGACTTTAGTACATAATAACTGTTTATGATTATTACTGATACCAAATTAATCACATCTGCATCGCGGTGCATCGAAGAAACAATTAATTTTGACACCCCTAACTTAGACTTAGGGGTGAGAACCAACATTACTAGGGAAGTCAATGGGTGTCGCCAACCAGCATGTTTCTAAAATTTACTTTTAAGTTCAACAGAAGAATGTCAGATAGGCTTTGAAGAGGTGAAGGGTTAGTATATAACATCAAATTGTCATTTTTGAGTGAACTACTCTTTTAAATGCAATAATTTAGCTCATTTTGTTTCTTTTTTAACCAATCATTTATTAAATAAATTGCTAAATAAAAGAGTTCCAAAATGACGACAACAACAAATGTCTCAAGATCTATGATGTCAGTAGCTTATAAATTAAAACAAAACATTTTATTCAAGTGTAAGTTGGTCATTTAAAACAATAATAATAATAATAATAATAATAATAATAATTATTATTATTATTATTATTACTACTATTATAAAAAAATACACTTTATGGAATAATTACAAATTTAACTTCCATCTACATCACAAATAAAAAAGCAACAGTTTAAATTTGCACAATATTTAGAAACTTTTTGAACGATTAAATATTTTTCTTATAGATTTGAATTATTAAATAAAAAAAGATAAATAAATGAAAAGGTCACTGCATTTTTTGACCATAAAAGAAAACCTATAACAAAATTAGTAGCCCTCGCCGTGGCCGTCGCTGATGCGCACCTTTAAAAAAATTGAACTGTAATGTCGCAACGACGCGTAGCATAAGCTCTGTGATTGGTCGGCTTGGTAGTGCTGAACGAGGCAGGAACGAGAGCTGCGAAAACCTGTTGGAGTATGTGTTTACAAGTGTTGAGTCCTGCGAAGAAGCTCCAGATGGAAAATTTTGTTTTGTGTTTAGCTTATGATTAAAGTTGTTGCACGTCCGCCTCTGAATAAAAGAGTTTGAGCTACTTCTACAATAAGGTCGTGTCAGGAAAAACAAAACACCCCTGAAGAAACTCAACACAGAGGAACATAAAAACCTACTGCCAGCTAGCGTTTTGGAAGTGTTATTGCAGAGCAACACAAACAGCGCGCAGAAGTATAATTATAAATGCACAGCAATGCACAAGGCATGCACTGTGGGTCCCAGCGATCGCTCAACGCAGAAGTCCAGGGGGATCCCGAGGCACTCTCAGGCCAGGTGAAAGACATAGTAAAGCATGTCCGGGGTCTTCCCCAGGCCTTTACCTCCCTAGGTAGGTGTCATGAAGGCATCCAAAACTGAGCCACCTCAGCTGACTTCTCTGTGTATGGAGGAGCAGCGGCTTTACTCCAAGCTCCTCCCGGGTGACAGAGCTCCTCACCCTATCTATAAGGGTGCACCCTACCACCCTGCGAAGGAAGCTCAATTCAGCCGCTTGTATCTGAGATCTTGTCCTTTCAGTCATGACCCAAAGCTCATGACCATAGGTGAGAGTAGGAACGTAGATTGAACGTTAAATAGAGAGTTTTACCTTTCAGTTCAACTCCTTCTTTACCACAACATACTGATACATCGACCGCATTATTTCCTCACACCACACATTTATTTCTATGTCTATTAATAGAGAAACTTCTTGAATCACAGAACAGTGTATTTATTCCATTAACCGACAGCAACCAACTACCCATGCTATTAAAATGAAGCAGCCTTTGGCCATTTGTTTGATATTATAAAGCATGACCCAACATTTAAAAGCAGTTAATTGAATGAAACCGCGCCACTGGATGTTTGTGAGCCTCAAGACTGTTTTGCTACTGTCCAGATTGTTCATAAGGAATGTGTTACATCCTCCTTGCATGTTAAATGATTATCCAACTCTACACTGTACTATCAAACCATTCATTACATCCATTCACCAAGGAACACAAATAGAAATTCATTATTTTATAATCAAGCTTACATCACATCCTGACATGACGTTTCAGTGGCATTGTATCCCAGATTGGCAACAAACTCAAGCATTTCTGTTCAAAGCAACAAGGCATCCTGTATGTGTGTGTGTGTGTGTGTGTGTGTGTGTGTTTACCTTTGTCGTGGGGCTCAGAACTTCCTCTGTTCCCTCCGAGTCTTTATCCTGAAAAGTAAAGGCCAAGGAGAACAAAACAATGAGAACATTCGTACATACCAATGTATACGAGCACACAAGAATGCAAAGTATATTTTTAGCATGCTAATATAAACAAGGTCTTGCAGATTTGCTGGGGGAAACTTGAAAATGATCTTGGTTTCCGTCAAACATGACTGTAGTAAAGAATAGGGAGCTCCAGATATGGATATCCCACTATTCTGAGGCCATAATCAGATCTATCAGTATGAATACGATCATTAACGCTCTTCTATTCTGGCGTTCAACTTCCTGTTAAGGGTCTGAACTCTTCGCTTTCCTTCCTGCTCCACCTGCACTAGAACTGACTCCTGGAAACTTTCTGCTCAGCTCTGATTTTATGGCAAGTTGGTTAAACATTTCATTTATCAGACGTAGTGTTGTCAACAACATCGATATTTCGATAAATATCGATACTTGAATATTTAAAATGATAAAATTTAGCTTTTGATTACTATCGATACCAGCTTTGTATTCTCGCGCTCTCTTTCAAAAGAAATCAAATCAAATAAAATATTGAAGTATCGTATCGAAGTTAACAATTCCAGTACCATGATAACAGTAATAAGATATGTATTGATTTCATGCGACTAGTATTTATTTTATTTAAGATACTAGTATATTCTCCATCATGTACTGATAATTATTCAGTAGTCACTAGTGCATATTGTGTATCTTTCGCGCTCTCCGTGCAGTATCAAAAATGGTATCGAATATCAATATTTTTCAAAGTATCGTATCAAAGTTAAAAATTCCAGTACTGTGATAAAATTAATAAGACATGCATTGATTTTAATGCTACTGGTACTTATTTTGTTTTAGATACTAGTACATTTTCCATTAAATACTGGTAATTATTCATTAATCACTGTTGCTTATTGTGTATCTCTTGCGCTCTCCTAGCAGTATCAGAAATGGTATCGAATATCGATAGTATTTAAAGTATCGTACTGAAGTTAGAAATTCCACTATCTTGACAACACTAATAAGACATACATTGATTTTCATGTGACTAGTACTTATTTTATTTTAGATACTTGTACATTTTCCATCAAGTACTGGAAATTATAAATTAATAATGCTTATTGTGCATCTCTCGCACTCTCCTCGCAGTATCAAAAATGGTATTGAATATCTATCATTTTCAAAGTATCGTTTCGAAGTTAGAAATTGCAGTATCGTGACAACACTAATAAGGCATGTATTGATTGTTATGCTACAAGTACTTATTTTATTTTTAGATACTAGTACATTTTCCATCAAGTACTGGAAATTATTCATTAGTCACTAGTGCTTATTGTGCATCTCTCACACTTTCCTCGCAGTATCAAAAATGGTATCGAATATTAATATTTTTCAAAGTATCGTATCGAAGTTAGAAATTCCAGTACTGTGATAACAGTAATAAGACATGCATTGATTTTCATGTGACTAGTATTTATTTTCTTTTAAATACTAGTACATTTGACATCAAGTATTGGTAATTATTTGTGTTAATTATTGTGCATCTCTTGCGTTCAAAATCAAAAATGGTGTCGAATATCGATATTTTTTAAAGTATCCTATCAAAGTTTGAAATTCCAGTACTGTGATGAAACTAATAATATATGCATTGATTTTAATGCTACTATTACTTATTTTAGATACCAGACACATTTTCCATCAAATATTCATTATTCATTTTATTTCATAATTACTAGTTACTTGTGCTTATTCTATAGACACTAATGCTCATTTATTAGATAATAGTATTTTTATTCAATTAAATTCATCTTTATTTCTATAGCACTTTTACAATGTAGATTGGGTCAAAGCAGCTTCACATTGAAGATTATCAATTGAAACAGTGTCAGTTCAGTTTTCAGTGTTGAAGTTTAGTTTAGTTCAGTTCGGTGTGGGTTAATATTCACTGCTAAGAGTTCAAACACTGAAACACTTTAGTCAGATACTAGTTCTTTTTCATTGGAAACTCGTTCAGATTAGATATTAGTATGCCTGCACTAGATACTAGTACTGATTCATTACTTACTAGAACATATTAATTAGATCTTGATACTTAATATTATAGAATAGAAAATACTCATTAGATGCATTTATTCCAAATATTAGCTAAAAATCGCAGAAAAACAAAATATTGCAATGTCAGATTTTTCCAATATTGTGCAGTCCTACATCACAGAAACACATTTCTATATTTATTATATTTAAAAAGTAATAATATTAGTGTTTTTACTAGGCCCACATGGAATCTGCGCGCGCAGAATTCTGCAGATTTTTTACAGATTTTCCGCAGAATTCCGCAGATTTCTGCAGATTTTTAGCCCATCATTAATTCGGTTTATTTACTTAAGTAAATGTTTAATTCTGAATTTATTCAGTTTTTATTCAGTAATGTATTTCTTTTTATTTAATATATTAAGGTCTAAGTTATGATACTCCGCTGGATACTCCCAAAAAAATTCCGCAGAAATCTGCAGATTTTTACCAAAATTCTCTGCAGAAAAAGCAAAAAACTTCCGCAGATTCCGTCTGGCTCTGGTTTTTACTTTATTTTGACCCAACACTTCCAGGAACATAAAGAGTCAGGGTTCAAACCCAGAGCAAAAACTGTCATTTTAACATGCCTTTAAGGCAAAACATGATTCATATGAAGAGAGAACAAGATCAACCTCTGTTCTGCACTGTCCATGCCATCATTCCTCCCCTACCCACAATCCTCTGCCTACTTCATTTATACTCCCTCTCACTCCTTATATCTCTAGCACACACACCTCCACCCCACCATACCAAAGCACTTGGCCTGATTACAGCGTGACGCTCTCCCAAGTGCTCATTTTTAAATGAAGCAGTGAAGCTCACACACGCACACACACACAAAAACCTTTCAGATATTTTAAGTCCCTTACCCTCTAGTCATTTCTTATGATTGTGGCATATTAGGGACAGCTCAGGCCTGACTCTCCTGATTGAAGAACACAGGGGTCACAGGAGTCCATTCACTCTGCCTTCAGTTGATTTATGAAGGAACACGAACCACAGTTTCAACAAGACCGTTCCTCAAAATAATGATGTTTACCAACTGGCAACCTGACATGGTTTAAAATAAAATCGACCCTCATAAAAAACAGCCTGGTATAAACCACTGGAACAGACTGGACATTCATCTCGATCAAGACCTGTTTATCTTAGGAAAATCGAAACTCTCGACAAAAATTCAGACAGGATCTGAATGGATGGAACTGGAGCTGTATGCAGGTTTAGGGTTCGTTTGTCCTCATCCGTTCAGCTTCCTGCTCTACATACCAAGTTCTGGATGAACAATCTGAGTAGGAGCCGAGGGAAGCGGATCTCAGTGAAATATCCCTTTGTAGACTGAACAACATTATGGCATTCCTTCCCCCATGCATCCAATATACAATCCAAAAGCCGATACCACCACTGAGAACAGGAAAAAAAGCTTCACTAAGAAAAAGTACTATGATACTACTGTTTTTTAGACATAGTATTATAGAAATAATGGTTATTTATTGTAGTACTTTAACTTAAATCTCTGTCTCAAATGCTAATATACGCCCCAACATACAACTGTGTTCCAGTAGTATATTATTGATAAACCTTTAAAGCAGGGCTGGCCAATCCTGTTCCTGGAGAGCCACCTTCCTGCAGATTTCAGTTGCAACCCATAATTAACACACCTGCCTGTAATTATCACGTGGTGTTCAGGTCCTAATTAATTGGTTCAGGTGTGTTTGATATGGGTAGCAACTGAAATCTGCAGGAAGGTGGCTCTCCAGGAACAGGATTGGCCACCCCTGCTTTAAAGGGTCAAAAATGAAAACTTTTTTACTTGTTTCAGACCTTTATGAGTTTATTTCTTCTGTTAAATGCAAAAGAAGTTATTTTAAAGAAAGCTGGGAAATATGATTGATCTCTATAATCTATTTAATTTGGAAAAAAGAACTGTTTGTTGTTTAAAACTGCTCATAATTTGGCATTTCATTTTTACATTCAGAGCTAGTTCATGCTGAAATGGACATTCAAATCGATGTGGAATAAGCATTGTTTGGATGTTCAGACCAGGCTCTAACTTGGCCTAAACATCAAAAACTCTCCCTTATGTTTGGCATGGTGCTGACCAAGAGAGTGATTCTGATGAAGTGGAAATCCACGACACCTCTAAGTTTTTTGTTAAATGGTTAGCTGAAATGGTTTGCTGAAAAGCTGGAAAAGGTACATTTCTCTAAATTTGGCAAACAGAAGATGTATAATGAAAAATGGGGCCCCTTCCTTAGATGTAAAGGTTAATAATGTCTCTGTAATTATTTTTTTCTCTCCTTTTTACTTGTAATTTCATGTAGCTTCTTATTCCATTAGTCTGGCTGAGATTTATTTTCTATTTTTAGATGGTGCTGTATAATTGCTGTATTGTCTGCTAGTGTTATGGTGCATGTTCTAGTTAGTATCAAGTAATAACACAGAGATCATTTTATTAACATATATACATGATGTACACTACTGGGTGTTATGATTTCTTAAAAACTTCTATAAATAAATAAAAAAAACATGTATAATAAAATAAAAGTTACGGTTCTTATGCCTTTAGTCATATTTAAGCACCTTTCAAGCGTGCATTTTCAAAGTTTTCAAGCACTTTACAAACTTGACATATTTACACACATTCTTCATCATATATCCGATTTTATTCTTTATAATACTCTACACTGTAAAAATGTCCATAAATGAACAGTTTTCTGTATTTTTTTATTCATTTTCCCCCCATTTCTTTATGCTTTTGAATTGCATTATGGGACCTTGATCTTTCTTACAATCACTTTTAACATTGAAAAGTTTAAATATTGACCTTTATTAACATTTCTAATATAGTTTAAAGTGATATATAGTCTGGGTTGGTGTTGTATATTACTGTACAAAAACCTTGTAATAAACTGCCTGTACATTTTCTGTTATTT